ATAAAACTAATTCTGCCTGTGGGGAATTAAAACAAAGTACAAATAACTAGGGATGTCCCACTGGGCAAAGATTACTGGGTTCTGGACCAAAATAAGGATCTCCAAAGGTCCGAACTCTAAACTGGGCGGTTAAACCAAACTCAGGTGATATTTTACACTAAACCGAAAACCCACAACACTCTAAATGTAATAAAAGGGAGATCTGCACCACAAAAAAGATGAACTCTAAACCAAAACGTAACAGCTTATCCAAACGCAAGAAACTGTTAGCGAAGATGCTAACAGTAGCTTTACCAACATTAAGTTCAAGTTACCAAGTTTAAATAAACCAAAAACACCCAGCAGCAAACAGACCAGCACGCAGGAGAGACTGCTACCACCAAAACAGCTCTCCTAATGTCTGAAAGAAGCTCCTTTATGAAGGGAGAAACGCTCCCGGTGATTTTCTACATCTGCGGTAGAGACGAAGCAGCGCATCTGACCCCGGAAGTTGTTGTCCGTTGCCGGGAGACGAAGGCGGGCAAAACAAGAAAGGAATCTAGTAGTGGACGGACGTTGTTCCGGGTCTTCGGTATTTGGTGGAGATGTTAGTGAAGGCGGAGAAGAGGGTGAACTAAAGGAAAAACAGGCAGATTCCTCCTCTATTTACAAACTCCTGGGGATGCAACAAGTGGGCGTGGTGCGTCGACTACTGGATCTGACATCGACGAATTTTTAGAATCGAGCCGTCAACGTCGTCGAGGCTTCGCTACAGCTCTAACAAACACTACATGTGTATGACACAGGGTCCGCATTTTAAGTGGCTCGCGAGAGATTCAACTGTCTTAAAATAGGTCTATGCTACTTCAACTCCTCTTACCCAGCATCAAGTTTATTCAGCGCAGAGTTTGCTCTCAGTGCAGAGTTTGCTCTCAGTGCAGAGTTTACTCTCAGCGCAGAGTTTGCTCTCAGTGCAGTTTACTCTGAGCGCAGTTTACTCTCAGCGCAGAGTTTGCTCTCAGCGCAGAGTTTACTATCAGCGCAGAGTTTGCTCTCAGCGCAGAGTTTGCTCTCAGCGCAGAGTTTACTCTCAGCGCAGAGTTTACTCTGAGCGCAGAGTTTACTCTGAGCGCAGTTTACTCTCAGCGCAGAGTTTGCTCTCAGCGCAGATTACTTTGAGCTCAGAGTTTACTCTGAGCGCAGAGTTTGCTCTCAGCGCAGAGTTTGCTCTCAGCGCAGAGTTTGCTCTCAGCGCAGAGTTTGCTCTCAGCGCAGAGTTTACTCTCAGCGCAGAGTTTACTCTCAGCGCAGAGTTTACTCTGAGTTTACTCTCAGCGCAGAGTTTGCTCTCAGCGCAGTTTGCTCTCAGCGCAGAGTTTACTCTCAGCGCAGAGTTTACTCTCAGCGCAGAGTTTACTCTCAGCGCAGAGTTTACTCTGAGTTTACTCTCAGCACAGAGTTTACTCTCAGCGCAGAGTTTACTCTCAGCGCAGAGTTTACTCTGAGTTTACTCTCAGCGCAGAGTTTGCTCTCAGCGCAGAGTTTACTCTCAGCGCAGTTTGCTCTCAGCGCAGAGTTTACTCTCAGCGCAGAGTTTACTCTCAGCGCAGAGTTTACTCTCAGCGCAGAGTTTACTCTGAGTTTACTCTCAGCGCAGAGTTTGCTCTCAGCGCAGAGTTTACTCTGAGTTTACTCTCAGCGCAGAGTTTGCTCTCAGCGCAGAGTTTACTCTCAGCGCAGAGTTTGCTCTCAGTGCAGAGTTTACTCTCAGCGCAGAGTTTGCTCTCAGCGCAGAGTTTACTCTCAGTGCAGAGTTTACTCTGAGCGCAGTTTACTCTCAGCGCAGAGTTTGCTCTCAGCGCAGAGTTTGCTCTCAGCGCAGAGTTTGCTCTCAGCGCAGAGTTTACTCTGAGCGCAGAGTTTACTCTGAGCGCAGTCTGCTCTCAGCGCAGAGTTTACTCTCAGCGCAGGTTACTCTGAGTGCAGAGTTTACTCAGCGATTTGCCAACTTTGACGCCCAGAAATGGATTTTAACCACTCAGTAATCTGTTCTCGGCCAATAGATGCACCAACCAACTTCCAGACCGAGACTATTGAACTCCAGTTTAATGACACGCTCCAGTCAGTATGACTCTGGAGTTGCTGCAGTGTTTATCTTTCCTCCCCAACACACTGACCCACAGTGTGGTCAAGCTGCTCAGACGCACGCTCTCCATGTTCTGCAGCACAAACCTATGTGAGCAACTGTTGTCTGTGATGAAGATGAACAGAACAACACAGCACCTTCCTCAGTTCAGATCCCAACCCCACAGGTGCAGGTGTCTGACTGGAACAGGTGAACATCAGAGTGGAGCAAACTGGGCTTGGATTATGTTGGTTTTCATGCACTTTTTCTGCTCCAAACATGGAAGGTTATAGGTGAGACTGCATTTTCATTTAACCCTCCCACTGTCTTTATGGGTGACCCCGCGAGGAAAGTTGACCATTGAGCAGGACTAATGGTTTATCCCTCGAGGTCCACGTGGCAGGGGTGAGGTGGTGCTCACTCCTCAAAGGATAAAAATAAAAAGAAATGCTGAATATATTCACATTTTAAGGAATAAAAACATTTAAAATTTTTGACATAAGTAATGAATATCACTGATGTGTTCTTTATTTAAAATGAATTTGCTCGTGTGTAATGTGGTTATTCCACATTCAGTCTTACTGCAAAAATAAGTTTGTTTCCAAATGAAAAGGTTCAACCGTACAGACCTGTAGATACAACCGTACAGACCTGTAGATACAACCGTACAGACCTGTAGATACAACCGTACAGACCTGTAGATACACCCGTACAGACCTGTAGACACACCCCTACAGACCTGTAGACACACCCGTACAGACCTGTAGACACACCCGTACAGACCTGTAGACACACCCGTACAGACCTGTAGACACACCCGTACAGACCTGTAGATACAACCGTACAGACCTGTAGATACAACCGTACAGACCTGTAGATACAACCGTACAGACCTGTAGATACACCCGTACAGACCTGTAGACACACCCCTACAGACCTGTAGACACACCCGTACAGACCTGTAGACACACCCGTACAGACCTGTAGACACACCCGTACAGACCTGTAGACACACCCGTACAGACCTGTAGACACACCCGTACAGACCTGTAGACACACCCGTACAGACCTGTAGACACACCCGTACAGACCTGTAGACACACCCGTACAGACCTGTAGACACACCCGTACAGACCTGTAGACACACCCGTACAGACCTGTAGACACACCCGTACAGACCTGTAGACACAACCGTACAGACCTGTAGACACAACCGTACAGACCTGTAGACACACCCGTACAGGTCTGTAGACACACCCGTACAGGTCTGTAGACACACCCGTACAGGTCTGTAGACACACCCGTACAGGTCTGTAGACACACCCGTACAGACCTGTAGACACACCCGTACAGGTCTGTAGACACACCCGTACAGGTCTGTAGACACACCCGTACAGGTCTGTAGACACACCCGTACAGGTCTGTAGACACACCCGTACAGGTCTGTAGACACACCCGTACAGGTCTGTAGACACACCCGTACAGGTCTGTAGACACACCCGTACAGGTCTGTAGACACACCCGTACAGGTCTGTAGACACACCCGTACAGGTCTGTAGACACACCCGTACAGGTCTGTAGACACACCCGTACAGGTCTGTAGACACACCCGTACAGGTCTGTAGACACACCCGTACAGGTCTGTAGACACACCCGTACAGGTCTGTAGATACACCCGTACAGGTCTGTAGATACACCCGTACAGGTCTGTAGACACACCCGTACAGGTCTGTAGACACACCCGTACAGGTCTGTAGACACACCCGTACAGGTCTGTAGACACACCCGTACAGGTCTGTAGACACACCCGTACAGGTCTGTAGACACACCCGTACAGGTCTGTAGACACACCCGTACAGGTCTGTAGATACACCCGTACAGGTCTGTAGATACACCCGTACAGGTCTGTAGATACACCCGTACAGGTCTGTAGATACACCCGTACAGGTCTGTAGACACACCCGTACAGGTCTGTAGATACAACCGAACAGATCTGTAGATACAACCGTACAGGTCTGTAGACACACCCGTACAGGTCTGTAGATACACCCGTACAGGTCTGTAGATACAACCAAACAGATCTGTAGATACAACCGTACAGGTCTGTAGATACCCGTACAGGTCTGTAGATACACCCGTACAGGTCTGTAGATACACCCGTACAGGTCTGTAGATACACCCGTACAGGTCTGTAGACACACCCGTACAGGTCTGTAGATACAACCGAACAGATCTGTAGATACAACCGTACAGGTCTGTAGATACAACCGAACAGATCTGTAGATACAACCGTACAGGTCTGTAGATACAACCGTACAGGTCTGTAGACACACCCGTACAGGTCTGTAGATACAACCGAACAGATCTGTAGATACAACCGTACAGGTCTGTAGACACACCCGTACAGGTCTGTAGATACAACCGTACAGGTCTGTAGATACACCCGTACAGGTCTGTAGACACACCCGTACAGGTCTGTAGACACACCCGTACAGGTCTGTAGATAGCGACTTGGTCCCAGTTTTTCATTTCGGCCCAGTGTGAGTTTGAGTTCGACACCCCTGCAATGCGCATACAAAGGAAGTGATAACCACCCAGGAACTAGCACGTACAACGACGGCCTTGCGGGAATGGTTCACCAGAATGATTGACAGTTAAATGGACCAATGGTTCAGATGATCCACCTGGAAAAAAATATCCTCCGCCACACCTTTAAATATAGTTTTTGTTCTTCACTAAATGATACAGGTGTGTGTGTGTGTGTGTGTGTGTGTGTGTGTGTGTGTGTGTGTGTGTGTGTGTGTGTGTGTGTGTGTGTGTGTGTGTGTCTGTGTGTGTCTGTGTGTGTGTGTGTGTATCTTATATTATGGGAGACAAACATCTGGGTAAGTCTTACCGATTTGGTGTGTTCAGGACGGGGGGCAATCACCGGTGGAGGCTGCGCCTCGTCTTCATCTTCTTCCTCGGACACTGTTGCTATGGCAGGTGTCTCCGACACAGCTTTGGAGCTCTGCGTGATGTCACATAGAGAGGAGGCGGAGTCTCAGTGACTTTATGGTTACATGAGCAATCATTAAAACCAGATCCATCCTTCCTTCTTGTTGTCACTGCTGATTCCTAATCTCGTCACAGACGTTCTCCTTCATCTTTTGCTGCTGGGCTTCACCTCCCTCTCCTCCTGCTAGTGCCTGAACTCTAGTCAGCTTGAGCTCCTGATGCCACTCCTCACACAACCTATTCCTCCATCTTTGATTTTCTTCTGCTGCAGAGTTGGCAAAGGAGACCAAGATGCTGATTCACAATGCAGCTCATAACTGCCTCCTTGGTGTTAAGTTTAAGGACATCTGGTTGGCTAATTTTAAAAATCAGTTCTCCAGCACAGAAAGCTGTTATTTGAGCTCCTGAGATGAATCAAAAGCAGAATTAAATCTGTTTTGCCTTTTGGAGATTTTCACCTCATCTCCACTAATGGTATAGGATCTGCTGTAAGGGATCCGAGTTGTGGACATTAAAGTGTTTATTATGGTATTTGTTGTTGAGATGGGGGATGTTTGTCACAAAATAAAATAAATGAAATGATTATTATTAGCAGTAAAGCATTCTTGTAATACTTGAGGTCTGAAACCATAAATGAGCCGCAGCACTTAAATTTTAGTCCCGTCATCTCATCCATCCATCCTCGGCTGCTTATCCGGGGTCTGGTCACGGGGCCGGAAGCCAATGCAGGGAGGCCCAGACGTCCTTCTCCCCAGCTTGTAGGGACCTCTGGGTGGATCTCATTCACCCCCGGAGCCTTGCCACTGAGGAGCTTTTCGACAACCTCATTGACCTCAGCACCAGAGATTTGAGAGCCCAACCCAAAGTCCACAAACATTGCTTCCTCACTGGAAGACGTGCCAGTGGGATTGAGTAAGTCTTCTAAGTATTCTGCCCACCGATCCACAACATCTGATTCGAGGTCAGCAGCACACGGTCCCCACTATAAACTGTGTTGGTAGAGCAGTGTGTCGCGGAGGCAGCAGCCTAACCAGAGAGGCCCAGACTTTCCTCTCACCAGCCACTTGGGCTAGTTCCTCCAGGAGAATCCTGAGGCGTTCCCTGGCCAGCTGAGAGACAGTCAATCCAGCATGTCCTGGGTCTTCCTTTAGTCTTCTCCTGGTTGGAATTGCCCGGAAAACCTCACCAAGGAGGAATCCCACCTAGATGCCTGAGCCACCTCAACTGGCTCATCTCTATGAGGAGGAGCAGTGGGTCTACTCCGAATCTGCATCACTGCAGATGCAGCACCAATCCACCTATCGATCTCCACTCCAGCTTTCCCTCACTGGTGAACAAGACCCCGAGATACTTGAACTCCTCCACTTGGGGCAGGACCTCATCTCTGACCCGGAGAAGGCATTCTACCCTTTTCTGACTGTTACGATCTCTGGGTTTTCCCTCCAGCCAGCACCATCAGGATTAGCTCTCTTCCCTCAGAGCTCAGCTGCAAGTCATCTGCAATCACCCAGCTGCAGCATGAAGTCTACCCCTTCAGGAGGAGAAAAAGGGGAGACAGACTGGAGGCTGAGAGAGAGAGGGACTTTTGGCTTAATTTAGGCGCCAGTGGCGACTTGGGTTGGCTGGATTTATTTACAGAGCTGTTTTGTAAAGTGCTCTTCAGTAAGCGGAGTCAGGTGGGGCGCTTTCTTTTGTTACTCTGTCCAGCTCTTATTGTAAGATCCTGAGATTTCTTCCTCCTGGGCAAGGCAAGCTTAAGTTTTGTTTTGAGACAGAGGTAGTAGGTAACTTTAAATAGTAACTCACTTGACAGTCATATTAGTTTGATTTATTTCCTTACAGGTGGTTGTTTTGGTTTCGTCTCCCGTTGGGATGCCTTTTGTTAACAAACCGTTTAAGATGATTGGTTTGGGTCTTGGTCTGTTTGATCCACCTTTTTGTGTTAACCCTCCCACGGTTTCCTAGACCTGGTTGGGGTTGTAACACCGCTAGGGATGGGTACCTTTGACATTTGAATCAATCCGGTACTAATTCCCGGTACCTAGGAATCGATACCGGTACCTAACGGTACCAATTTTCGATACTTTTGAGTGTTTATTATTTTAATTCTCTTTTGTAATTAAATATATTTTTTTTTCAATTTATAACCACATTTGATAAATATCACGATAAATAACATACAACTGTTTGTATTTTAACATCGTCCTTGTAGTTTTATAAGCTGATAATTAAACTGAAGCAAACATCTTTACTGTGAACTAAATTTACTGTGTATCTTCATTCCTTTTGCCGTCTTTTTTCATTTGATTTTTCCTACTGGGAAGTTAGAATTTCCGAGGAGAACACGAACGCACCATTAGCTGATAACAATGGTGGCAATGGAAGCTAACTTATCAAGCTAACGTTATCTTACACAGTTTATTTAGCTGCTGGCGCAGATTAAAACGATGATGCCTCACACTTAGATCGTTGTCGCTGGTTTCATCTTCACCCGTCACATTTAGTAAAGTGAAGCCAAACTTTAGAGCGTGTTCATGTTCTTCTAGTCGAAAATTCAGAGTTCCGAGGAGAAAGCGAATGCACCATTAGCGAAACGTAAGCTAACATATCAAGCTAACGGTATCTTTAACATTTTATTTACCTACCGGAGCAGATTAAGATGAGGATGTCTCACTTAGATCGTTGTCGCTGGTTTCATCATCACCCAGTTACCCATCACATTTAGTGAAGTGGACCCAAGCTTTAGCGTGCGTTCTTTCTACCATGCTGCTCTGTTTACAACTGGCTCGCAGCGACCGACGACATAACGCTCTTGCGCATGCGCAGCTGTCCTGGCAAATTCTCGTTATGAAGGACGGGTAGCGAAACGAGGCACCGTTTGAAATGACGTGAATCGGTGCTCAGTCGGTACTATGGAATTCGGTTGGTACCTTAAAAAGTACCGAATTCGGTACCCATCCCTAACACCGACTCAAGACCATGGTCTCTGATTTAGAGGAGCTGATTCTCATCCCAGCTGATTCACACTCGGCTGTGAACCGCTCCAGTGAGAGCTGGAGATCACGAATAAAGAGGAAATAATCATTTCACGTTGTTTTTGCAAAATCACTCTTCACAAGCCAAAACTACAGTGGGTACCCACCTCCCTACAGCAGTTTCTGCTTGTTAAACAACAACAGACCGCTACAGCTCATAAGCTTGACTCTCCCAGATTCCAGTTAGAATTGAAAAAGCTCCTCGGATGAGAAGCGAAATGTCTTCAAGAAGTCCAGTTGCTTCCATTTGAACCCTTTGGATGACCATGACCTGGATGACCGAGAACCTTCACCAGCACATATTTTAATCATTCTTGAAATCTTTTATACTTTAATTATGTTTTGTTTTTGTGAGGCGCCTCATGATTATATGAAAGATCTTCCTCTTCTTCTAAAAGCGGCTGTTTTATAGTTGATAGTAGTATTTGTTCCCGGTCTGTCATGGCAACAGTATATTTACATGAAACACTTAGCTGTGGTATAAATTATCACCAGTAGGGATGGGTACTGAATTCGGTACTTTTTAAGGCACCGGCCCATTTCCATAGTACCGACTGAGTATCGATTCACATCATATAAAACGGTGCCTCTTGTCGGTACCCGTGCCGGGTGCCGATGCAAGAGCGTAATGTCGTCAGTCACTGTGGGCGAGCTGTAAACAGAGCAGCATAGCAGACAGGAAGCGTTCTGAAGTTTGGGTCCACCTCACTAAATGCGATGGGCTGTTGGGTGATGATGAAACCAGCGACAACGATCTGAGTATGAGGCATCTTAATCTGCTCCAGCAGCCAAATAAACGCTTTAAGATCACGTTAGCTTCATAGTTTAGTTTTTGTTTACATAGCTAATGGTGCCTTCAATTTCTCATCGGAAATTCCAACTTCCGAGTAGGAAAAATAAACAGTTTGAAAACGAACGGCAAAAGGAATGAAGATACACAGTAAAGGTAGTTCACAGCAGAGATGTTTGCTTAAGTGTAATCAGCAGTTTCTAAAACTACAAGGACCCACCATCACACCGTTTCTAAAACTACAAGGACGACCATCACACCATTTCTAAAACTACAAGGACCACCATCACACCATTTCTAAAACTACAAAGACCACCATTACACAGTTTATAAAACTACACGGACCACCATCACACAGTTTATAAACATACAAGGACCACCATCACACAGTTTATAAAACTACAAAGACCACCATTACACAGTTTATAAAACTACACGGACCACCATCACACAGTTTATAAACATACAAGGACCACCATCACACAGTTTATAAACATACAAGGACCACCATCACACAGTTTATAAAACTACAAGGACCACCATCACACAGTTTATAAAACTACAAGGACCACCATCACACAGTTTATAAAACTACACGGACCACCATCACACAGTTTATAAACATACAAGGACCACCATCACACAGTTTATAAACGTACAAGGACCACCATCACACAGTTTATAAAACTACAAGGACCACCATCACACAGTTTATAAAACTACAAGGACCACCATCACACAGTTTATAAAACTACAAGGACCACCATCACATAGTTTCTAAACTACAAAGACCACCATTACAGTTTATAAACGTACAAGCACCACCCTCACACAGTTTATAAACGTACAAGCACCACCATCACACCGTTTATAAACGTACAAGCACCACCATCACACAGTTTATAAACTACAAGGACCACCATCACACAGTTTATAAACGTACAAGGACCACCCTCACACAGTTTATAAACGTACAAGCACCACCCTCACACAGTTTATAAACGTACAAGCACCACCATCACACCGTTTATAAACGTACAAGCACCACCATCACACAGTTTATAAAACTACAAGGACCACCATCACACAGTTTATAAACGTACAAGGACCACCATCACACAGTTTATAAACGTACAAGGACCGTCCACCATCACACAGTTTATAAACGTACAAGGACCACCATCACATAGTTTATAAAACTACAAGGACCACCATCACAGTTTATAAACTACAAGGACCACCATCACACAGTTTATAAACGTACAAGGACCACCATCACACAGTTTATAAACGTACAAGGACCACCATCACATAGTTTATAAAACTACAAGGACCACCATCACAGTTTATAAACTACAAGGACCACCATCACACAGTTTATAAAACTACAAGGACCACCATCACACAGTTTATAAAACTACAAGGACCACCATCACACAGTTTATAAAACTACAAGGACCACCATCACAGTTTATAAACTACAAGGACCACCATCACAGTTTATAATCTACAAGGACCACCATCACAGTTTCTAAACTACAAGGACCACCATCACACAGTTTACAAAACTACAAAGACCACCATAACACAGTTTATAAAACTACAAGGACCACCATCACATAGTTTATAAAACTACAAGGACCACCATCACACAGTTTATAAACGTACAAGGACCACCATCACATAGTTTCTAAACTACAAAGACCACCATCACAGTTTATAAACGTACAAGCACCACCCTCACACAGTTTATAAAACTACAAGGACCACCATCACAGTTTATAAACTACAAGGACCACCATCACAGTTTATAATCTACAAGGACCACCATCATAGTTTCTAAACTACAAGGACCACCATCACACAGTTTACAAAACTACAAAGACCACCATAACACAGTTTATAAAACTACAAGGACCACCATCACATAGTTTATAAAACTACAAGGACCACCATCACACAGTTTATAAACGTACAAGGACCACCATCACATAGTTTCTAAACTACAAAGACCACCATCACAGTTTATAAACGTACAAGCACCACCCTCACACAGTTTATAAAACTACAAGGACCACCATCACACAGTTTATAAATGTACAAGGACCACCATCACACAGTTTATAAACGTACAAGGACCACCATCACACAGTTTATAAACGTACAAGGACCACCATCACACAGTTTATAAACGTACAAGGACCACCATCACACAGTTTATAAACGTACAAGGACCACCATCACACAGTTTATAAACGTACAAGCACCACCATCACACAGTTTATAAAACTACAAGGACCACCATCACACAGTTTATAATCGTACAAGGACCACCATCACACAGTTTATAAACGTACAAGCACCACCCTCACACAGTTTATAAACGTACAAGGACCACCATCACACTGTTTATAAACGTACAAGGACCGTCCACCATCACACAGTTTATAAACGTACAAGGACCGTCCACCATCACACAGTTTATAAACGTACAAGGACCACCATCACATAGTTTATAAAACTACAAGGACCACCATCACAGTTTATAAACTACAAGGACCACCATCACACAGTTTATAAAACTACAAGGACCACCATCACACAGTTTATAAAACTACAAGGACCACCATCACAGTTTATAATCTACAAGGACCACCATCACACAGTTTTTTAACTACAAGGACCACCATCACACAGTTTATTAAACTACAAGGACCACCATCACACAGTTTATAAAACTACAAGGACCACCATCACATTTTATAAACTACAAGGACCACCATCACAGTTTATAATCTACAAGGACCACCATCACACAGTTTCTAAACTACAAGGACCACCATCACACAGTTTACAAAACTACAAAGACCACCATCACACAGTTTATAAAACTACAAGGACCACCATCACATAGTTTCTAAAACTACAAGGACCACCATCACACAGTTTATAAAACTACAAGGACCACCATCACATAGTTTCTAAACTACAAAGACCACCATCACAGTTTATAAACGTACAAGGACCACCCTCACACAGTTTATAAACGTACAAGGACCACCATCACACAGTTTATAAACGTACAAGGACCACCCTCACACAGTTTATAAACGTACAAGGACCACCCTCACACAGTTTATAAACGTACAAGGACCACCCTCACACAGTTTATAAACGTACAAGGACCACCATCACACAGTTTATAAACGTACAAGGACCACCATCACACAGTTTATAAACGTACAAGGACCACCATCACACAGTTTATAAACGTACAAGGACCACCATCACACAGTTTATAAACGTACAAGGACCACCATCACACAGTTTATAAACGTACAAGGACCACCATCACACAGTTTATAAACGTACAAGGACCACCATCACACAGTTTATAAACGACAAGGACCACCATCACACAGTTTATAAACGTACAAGGACCACCATCACACAGTTTATAAACGTACAAGGACCACCATCACACAGTTTATAAATGTACAAGGACCACCATCACACAGTTTATAAACGTACAAGGACCACCATCACACAGTTTATAAACGTACAAGGACCACCATCACACAGTTTATAAACGTACAAGGACCACCATCACACAGTTTATAAACGTACAAGGACCACCATCACACAGTTTATAAACGTACAAGGACCACCATCACACAGTTTATAAACGTACAAGGACCACCATCACACAGTTTATAAACGTACAAGGACCACCATCACACAGTTTATAAACGTACAAGGACCACCATCACACAGTTTATAAACGTACAAGGACCACCATCACACAGTTTATAAAACTACAAGGACCACCATCACACAGTTTATAAACGTACAAGGACCACCATCACACAGTTTATAAACGTACAAGGACCACCATCACACAGTTTATAAACGTACAAGGACCACCATCACACAGTTGGTCCAGAGGAGAAAGGAGAGGAACAGGAGTACCTGAAGTTGGTTTAGTTAGTGAAACACCTCAATACTAAAATCAGGGTTCATACACTTTTTTAGCTATGGTTTTCCATAACTTTTCCAGGTTTTTCATGACCGTACGAACCCTGTAAAATACAAACTGTTGTAGGTATTGAAGTTTGTTTAAGTTTCATCTGTAGTTTATAACACATGGTCTCCTCATCAGATTTATTCCAGAGGGATTAGAAGAGGATTAGGAGTCCATGGAGCTGGCTTTGTTAAAGGTTTTCATGTAGAAGAACTTTGTACAACACTACGATGATAAAATACATTATTTATCATCATATTTATCAAATATGGTTATAAATTGGGAAAATATATATTTCATTAATATAAAAAGGCATTTAAATTATTATTAAACACTCACAAGTATCAGAAATTTGTACCGCTAAGTACCGGTATCGATTTGCAGGTACCGGGATTGGTACCTTATCGACTCAAATGCCAAAGGTACCCATGCCTAATTACCATCAACTGTAAGAAGATGAACCCCACAGAGACGTGATGCGGTCTTACCGTGGTGGTGCTGGAGTTGTACGCATCAGTGTTTTTATCTGCAGGAAAAGAAAAGACGAGCTCGTTTACTTTTATGTCAGGAGTGATTTTACCAACATTTACCAACATTTACCAACATTTACCAACATTTACCAATTTTACCCAACAGTTTCAACAGTTTCAACAGACAAAAAAAATCATGTTATTTGTTGTGATCAGCTTCATAAACCCTGAGCTGTAACGTGGATCCATTCCTCAAACTTGATGTTGAATTCTGTTTGAGGGTTAGGTCCAGCATCTGAGCTGCTGCTGGTTGTAGAAACTAAAATATTTTCTCCTGATGACGAATCGTCAACTCGCCTGTAAAGCTCATGTACTTCTGACAGTTGGCCTTTTCCTTAGAGTCGTAGAACTTCAGAACGTCCAGGACCGCTTGAGGGTTCTTCTTCTGCTCCAGTTTAGTGATGTTGGACGTCTGCAGCAGCCGGGCCCACTGCTCCGGCATCCCCTGTCACAAACACGCACAAATGCACACACATACGGACGCACATGCGCAGTTTACCTTCAGTTAGAAATACGTGTCACATTAAATGTTCCTGTTCTCTTATCTGGCAGGGTCAGTTCTCCAGCCATCCACCGTCAGCTCATGTTTAATCACCCGTTTTTATTTAAAGATTATTTGCATGTGTTTTGTATAGAAGTTAACTGTGACCCAGAACAATAAAAGAAGACAACACAAACACACTCACAGTGAACTCCCCAGTGACAGCATCAAAACCGACGTGGATGGTGTGTTCAAAGTCAGAAGGAAGAGAAATCTCTGGACGCTCCTTCTTCCGATAAGCTACACATAAAAGAAAACATTAAACTAAAGCATCATGTAGTTAAGCCTAAACACTGAGCGTTTATAATAAATGTCATATTGAATTTCTTACGACAGAAAATCCTTTGGTTGATGAGGTTCAAATAAATAATGATCAGGACACAATAAGAACAAGAAAAGATGGTACGGAGCGTTTTGTGTAGCAACAGCCGAGCTGACCAAAGTTCTTCACAGAAAATATCTAGTTTAAAACCAAGAAGGAACAAAGGGCCAAAATGAATGAGACAATAAAAGCAGTAATGAATCACAAGGGTCAGCTTTTACCATCGAACTGACAGGAACCTTTCATTCACGCCAGAGCTGCAAAGCCAAGGTTACACCAGCTGGAGGACCCAGACGCACCTCCTAACCTCCCAAAATAGCACACCTCAACTCTTATGACCGCATCACTTCAGCAGGTGGTTTCACTTACATGTGGATAACCTTTTAGATGCTTTTTCTACTGACTTTTAAATGGTCTTAATTATACGGGTTTTAGCCAACATGTCACTCAGCCAACTCACAACAGAGGGCACACCCTAGACTTGGTTTGTCCACCCGTGTGCTCTGTAGACTTGGCTGACTATGATCATTACTGCGTGTTTTTTACCGACCGGGAGTCCTCTGAGGAGACCGTCAGGAAATTCTGAAGTGCATTTTTTTCCTCCACCTGACTCAATCCTCATATAAACCCTCTGATCTCCATTAAGGTAGCGCGACTCGGGTTGCGAATGACCACAGTCACCAACTCTTGTCATGTATGCCTTTGTCTGTATGTCTGATCTCAGAATTGTGTGTACTGAAACTCTAATTTCCCTCTGGGATGAATAAATTATCTTTGAATTGATTTGAAACATCATCTAACCCCTGAAGAGACTGCAAGTTTTACTGATACCTTAGAAAAAATACCTCCTACTGCTTTCCTTGCCCGTTATTTTATACTGAACGACTAACAGTAGGCTTCAGTCCACATGTGACCATCTGGCTCCACAAAAATGAAAAAGATCCAGCCTGATTCATCGAAGAATGTTGGTTTAAAAGGGATCAGCACTAACTTTTATCGCCTCCTCCTGGCCGGATGAATCGAATCGAGCGGTCTTTCTTCTTCTTGTCGTCTGGGTTTGGTGGGAGGGGCTTGGAGCCATGATTGAGGGGGGTAGGGTCCTTATTGCAGGAACCAATCAGGGTGCTGGTATTTCTCATGGGAGGAGCTGGAGGCTTGTCCTCGACCTCCCCATTATCAGACATCTTCAGACAGGCTGAAGCCAGCTGCTCCTGCACAAAAAGGGGGCGGGGCAAATTAACCAATCACAAATGAAGACTTATCAGGGTAGCTGCACAAAAGCTATCAGAAAGCTGCGTACCTGACTTTCCACGCAAACTCTGCGTTACATAAAGCAAAACTTGACAGAAAAGGGTGGAAACTAAGCAAACATTGGACCTGGAGACCTGAAACCATGTTTAATATGGGATACAGTAACAGACTTAGGCTATTTTCCTACACACACACACACACACACACACACACACACACACACACACACACACACACACACACACACACACACACACACACACACACACACACACACACACACACACACACACACACACACACACACACACACACACACACACACACACACACACACACACACACACACACACACACACACACACACAGCTGAGAGACTGGTTCTGCTTCACAAACTTCAGGCTGACCTGATCTGCTAAATGTTCCAATGACCAGAGACCCATGAGTAGGGACTATGTAGGTCAGATCTGCACGAATAACACACACACACACACACACACACACACACACACGAACACTGTCATCGTTAAGATCCTGCTGGAAGCTGGACTCTGGGTGCTCCATGTGAGCTCCGACTGCCACATCACCACAAACTGAATTATTCACTTTGAGCAAAACAGAAAGTGAACTTGGTTAAAAAGACACAGAAACTAAATGTTCCATCAGGTCTTCTCTGAAAATAATCATTTCATACATTCCAGCTCCACTCTGCAGAGCTCATTGGTGTTATTCTGCACTAAACTGAAGCCCTGAGGCCTTTTCTACGGGTTTAAGCACATTAACATCAACCTGACAGGAACCACAACAATTCTTCTTCTCCCCAATAAATGTTTGACATGTTTGCTTGGAATGGATTTGGATCCATTTTCCATCTGAAACAAAACTGAAAATAATTTATGAATATATGCAGGTGTGTTTCCAGCTGATTGGTAATCACGTTTAAATGAGAAATCTTGGCTCACGGTTAGAAATGTAAATCCTGGGACAGACTGGGGTAAAACATCCGGTCGTCTAACTAGCCACCACCAGCACGCATCTTGCCCAAGGACACAAAAGCAGCATTCTCTGGTCGGAGATGGGATTGAACATGCAACCTTTTGATAACTGGACAACCCACTGTACCCACCTCTCTTAGTAATTCTCATCAGAACTCTAGCTGCAGCATTTTGGACAAGCTGAAGACTTTTAACTACATTCTGTGGACTTCCTGAGAGTAATGGATTACAGTAATCCAGTCTTGATGTAATAAATGCATGAACTAGTTTTTCAGCATCACTCCTGGAAAGGATGCTTCTAATCTTAGCAATATTCTGAAGGTGGAAAAAGGAAATCCTACAAACCTGTTTAAAGTGGGATTTGAATGACATGTCCTGGTCAAAGATAACACCAAGGTTCCTTACTTTGTTCTCGGAGACTAAGTTAAGCAACAAGTCAGCCTGAGGAAAAATGTCTCGGGCCTGTTGTGGTTGGGGCAACCAGCACCGGTTCCCCTCGGGCTGTGTTCTCTCCCCTCTGCTCGGTTCCCTGTCCACCAACGGTGGGAGGAGCCGGGCTGCAGTAAAGTGGACACTTACCATAAACATAAACCATGTCGGTGAAAAGCAGGTTTCCCAGACAGCTTCATGGTTCACACAGATGAGGTGCTGGCTCAAGCTAAACCCTTTTAAAGCACATTACAGAGACGCTGAGAGGATGAACAGAAGCCTCGACTCACAACTCTGAGATTAGATCTGATTCAGAGATTTCAGTCAGAGATGCTTTTTTCTCTTAAATATTTAAAGATTTGTTTCATTTTAGAATAAATAACATTTTATTTCAAAAGTAGGAAGAACATTTGCAGGAGGGTGGTTATTGTTTTCCATGGGATGTCGATATTAGAGGAAAATTTATTCAAAATAAACAAGAATGGGTCTAAAATATTACTGGTACTTTTATTATAACTCTGTTGTGGAAATTCAGTTGAAAACTGACAAACTGGTTAAACCTGCACATTTTTATTGAATGACTATGATTATGGCTAAAGTGACAGAGCCACTGTAGAAGGTCCACAGAGCCGGCGTTAACCAGGAACTGGGAGATGGTGTGAAAGCTGTTGCTGTTTAAGTTCAACTCTAACAGACATGTACTTGTACACATGTGTAAGTAACGTTGATGTTGAAAGGCAGGATAAAAATCTTCACCTATTTCTGAACTTCATTTCGTTGCATTGGAAGTTCATGTTGTCCCACATGATCATATCTTCTTCCGGCTCTTGGAGAGTACAGACGCTTTTTTCTTCCTCTCCTCCCCATCTTAACCCAAGGCTCTTTGTCTGTCTCTGGGTGGACGGCGCTTCTGCATTTTTTCTGGAAACTGGAAATTATTAAAAATGGACCTGGTCGGTTGGTCTCTCAACGCGATTGACAACATTTTTCAACGATGAGAACGGGAGAAGGGGCTCCCGGTTGCCCCTCTGGGACAGAGCCCATTGGGTATATCATGGACTCCTGGAAACAGTGGGACCTGATCTGCCTCTCTCAGCTGTCTGTAGAGGACTCTGAAGACGTGTGGATATTCGTGGTGTTGGTGTTGGGATTCCTGCTCTTCGGCCTGAGCGGTTACCTGGCTTACCGGAAAATTAATGAGCTGTCGAGGAATATTGGCTCAATCCCAGTGCTCAGGGATGGATTACACCGCGCGGTGAACGCACTAACTCATATAATTGTCGAGATGAGTCGTAAGCTTGGAACTTTGGCTGAGATTCAGGCTCTGGCACAGAAGGTGGATTCCATCAAGGAGCGAGTTGACAGGACATCACGGTTGGGGATAGATTAATTACACCATTATTGGATCTAGAGGGGTTGGAGACCAACAGCACAAACTTTAAGACAGAGAGGAAATTATCTCTGTCTGTCCCCAAAACAAGTTCTTATCTGAATCTGGTGCCCTTGTGCCTGTGAGGCTGAAGTGAAAACTCCCCCTCAGAAGAAATGTGGAATGCTGCCGTCGCTATGGAAACCCTTTCTCCCTGTCCCAGCCTGGGCGGGACTGTGACCGGTGAAGGCCGTGGAATCGTTTCCAGGAGTCAATGCGCTCTCTAACCCATTATCTCCCTTCCCTGTCCAAACAGAGGTGATGAGCGCTGCCCCATGCGGCTGCACGCACCGAAGTGAGGAGAGTCCCAACCCTACCTCCCCACCTAGTGGACACTTATGTCGTGTAATGTCGGAAGTCTGTTGCATTTCTGTCTGAGGTGTTTTTTTATATAGCAAAGCTATCCTCTCTATTGAAGGTAACTCTGAAGTGCCTTTTTTCCCTCCCCCCCTCCCCCGACTCTATCGTCATATAAACCCTCTTGACCTATTAAAGCCGGGCGTACACTGTGCGACTTTTTCACTCGTAGCGTTCAGCTTCAGCTCAAACTGTACGACTTCCTCGCAGGGCAGATCTAACGAGTCATGTGCTCACACTGTACGTCTGGTAGCAACACGTCGGCCCTAAAAATATGCTAAAACTAGCAGTTTTTACACAACACGTCAGACTTTTTTGTTTTGCCTGTTGTCCTTCGGGAGTGCTGCAGGAGGACACACAGGGATTTATGGGGGTTGGATGAGGAAAACGAAATAAAGAAAGTAAATCTGTGTTTTGTGATCAGTTTAATTTGACATGAACACGACAAACACGCTTTCTTGACAATCTTTGTGAGTAAAAAGAAACGTGTTTGAAATAAAAACGAACAGCGTGTGTTATTAGGGAAATAGCGGGCGAGCGGTGTTGATGCAGGATTGCGCATGCGCCGTGAGCGGTTCTGATACTCTTTGGGTCGCAGCTGCTCGCAGCGCCGCTTCAACAGTGCGATACCCTCACGAGGAACGAGCAAAATATCAAACACGCCAGAAGTCCGTGCGACCTCACGACTGCTGATCGGTAGCTGGTCACGTGGTGTTAATCGCCTCTCGTAACCCCCGTACACTACACGACCGCTCGGCGCAAAACTCGATCTCGTGTGGATCTGGCCAACTTACCGGGCGGACAGATAAGGTTTATTGAACTTTGAAACAACGTCAAACTGAGGCATTCCATCAAAAACGGTTCCAAAATGAAAGTTGACCTGATGTCTTTTCTGGCCATTGTTATGGCTCAGAGCCATTTGGGTTTTTCCCTGTGTGTGTGTGTGTGAGAGGAGATGCAACACCTGGCTCCAATCTCACTAGATTGCCTCCCGGTTAGATTCTCTCAGCTGATCCTGATGACCAGCAGCATAAAAGTCAGCCAGCCCTCAGTTCAGGGAGCAGCAGGCCAGGGAGGTTCTCTCCGGTCTGATGTCTCCTCAGCAGCTTTTGCTTTTGTTAAGTTTTATGTAACAACTTTGGTGGGAGCTTCAAACTCTCCGTGTTGAACCGTTCGCCTTTTTAGGGGTAAAGGGCCCTTCGCTTGCTTTTATTAAGACATCACTCGGAAATTAGAAAATTATGTGATGGTCTTTCGTGGTTTTTGTATTAATTTGGTTAATATGAGAGTTTAGTTGTTACTCGTTTTGCGTTGCTGCTGATGTGTCTTGTTAATCTGTGTTTTGTGTTTATATTCATGTAAATAAATGTTGTTTTGTTACTGTTATCACGAGAACATGCGTCCTCATTGTTACCCCAGGCCCCCTAGACAGCCATTAAAAAAAAAAACTTCCAGCACGTCTCATTTACACGTTTATCAATTAAAATGTGGGCATCTTACTACTATATAACTGCAAAATATATACCGTATTTTCCGGACTATAAGTAGCACATATTTTCATAGTCTGTCCGGTCCTGCGACTTATACTCCGGAACGACTTATACACCAAATTATGTAGGCTATACCGCGCAGCTGCGGGTCAGCTCCGGACCAGGAATGGGTTCCCCTGCCCGCTGGGTAGGTATCGAACACCGCCATCCTCTGCTGGAGACCGTGGCGCGCTGATGCACCCACGTGGTTTATTCTGTTATTGTTACCGGTACTTGTGTTGCAATGTGAAACGCTTGGTCTCAGATTTTGTAAGAAAAATAATAAAAATTTCCCCCCAAAATGTGACTCCGTCTAGTGCGACTTATATATGTTTTTTTCTTCTTCATTATACATTTTATGGCTGGTGCGACTTATACTCCGGAAAATACGGTATATATCATTACTGGAAAAAAATAACATTTCCAAATGCCAATTGAGACACAATCACATCTGTCCCAGGCAGCCTGGAGTCGAACCCGGGACCTCGCCGTGTTGAGCCATTTGTTTGACACGCCTTTTACCTGAAAACCAAAGATGGTGCTAAACCTGGCAAACATTTTAACACTCGATGACAGCTGAAACTACGTCAGTTCAATACTTCAAATCTCAATCATTTAAAATCCGAACTATTATTATGATTACTGCTATTTTAAAGACAAATGGCCAGGGGTGCACGTAAAATATTTTCTAGTTTTTGAAATATTTTTCTATAATTATTGATATTGAGCTATATAAACAAAATTTATCCATCTATCTATCTATATCTATATATATATATTATATACACACACACACACATACGTGACTCAAGGTGGTACTAGGGTTGTCACGGTAACCGGTGTAGCGGTAAACCCCGGTAAAAAAGTTGATAATAATAATAACCGCCTTGTTTTTTAAAAAAAACTATATTATCTCGGTGGATTATCGTGGCTGCGGTGTAGGCGCGGTGACCCTTACCAGCCACCGTATCATCTGCAGAAGTTGCCGGCGGCACATGCGCACTTTGTTGTTTACAACCAAAACTTTCTTGAAGCTAAAGCTGAAATAACGGCCAAAGGAGGAGACGGCAGCGCTCAGGACATTTATTATCCCTCAAAGAAGACAAAGTGGGAAGTACGGGCATGTTTTGGATATTTGAAGAATGCCGAGGGACAGCTGATAGAAGACGGCTATCCTGTTTGCAGCACGTGCAGAAAAAGTGTGTGAAAGGCAGCAACGCTTCAAATCTCATGACACATCTGCGCGACCATCACCCACAACTCTACAGTCAACGCAAGGCAGGCCAGTTGAGCACAGTAATACCATGGTCAGTAAACCATCTACCAGTGGTTTTGGCGCTGTGAGCAGGTGCCAGGTCATGCTGAAAAATGAAATCTTCATCTCCATAAAGCTTTTCAGCAGATGGAAGCATGAAGTGCTCCAACATCTCCTGATAGCTAGCTGCATTGACCCTGCCCTTGATAAAACACAGTGGACCAACACCAGCAGCTGGCATGGCGCCCCAGACCATCACTGATTGTGGGTACTTGACACTGGACTTCAGGCATGTTGGCATTTCCCTCTGCCCAGTCTCTGGCACCTTGATTTCCGAATGACATGCAGAATTTGCTTTCATCTGAAAAAAGTACTTTGGACCACTGAGCAACAGTCCAGTGCTGCTTCTCTGTAGCCCAGGTCAGGCGCTTCTGCCGCTGTTTCTGGTTCAAAGGTGGCTTGACCTGGGGAATGCGGCACCTGTAGCCCATTTCCTGCACACGCCTGTACACGGTGGCTCTGGACGTTTCTACTCCAGACTCAGTCCACTGCTTCCGCAGGTCCCCCAAGGTCTGGAATCGGTCCTTCTCCACAATCTTCCTCAGGGTCCGGTCACCTCTTCTGGTTGTGCAGCGTTTTCTGCCACACTTGTTCCTTCCCACAGACTTCCCACTGAGGTGCCTTGATACAGCACTCTGGGAACAGCCTATTCGTTCAGAAATGTCTTTCTGTGTCTTAGCCTCTTGCTTGAGGGTGTCAATGATGGCCTTCTGGACAGCAGTCAGGTCGGCAGTGTTACCCATAATTGTGGTTTTGAGTAATGAACCACGCTGGGAGTCTTTAAAAGCCTCAGGAATCTTTTGCAGGTGTTTAGAGTTCATTAGTTGATTCAGATGATTAGGTTAATAGCTCGTTTAGAGAACCTTTTCATGATATGCTAATTTTTGAGATAGGAGTTTTGGGTTTTCATGAGCTGTACGCCACAATCATCAATATTAGAAACAATAAAAGGCTTGAACTACTTCAGTTGTGTTTAATGAGTCTAATATATATGAAAGTCTAATGTTTACCAGTACATTACAGACAATAATGAACTTTATCACAATATGCTAATTTTTTAGAAGGACCTGTATATCGACGGAGAGCGAGAGAGCGAGAGAGAGAGAGAGAGAGAGAGCCCAAGACCAAGACCAAGACCAAGGCCTAACATAACCTTGGAGGTTGATGGCTCTGTGTAAGAGCATTGGGATAGATTTTGGAACGGCTCAGGTTCTAACTTCATGACAAAGTTGTAAATAGTTTGTTCCAATCCTTCTTCTCATCTGTGCGACATTCACTCTAACTGATTGGCCTGGCCAGCTCATCTCTCTGGCTGCAGCTTACATTCCCAAGTGAAGGAACCACAAACAATCAGAGAGGGTCCTGCTCTTCACCATCTCTGATTGGTTTAGACCAAGACATGGGTCTGTTGTTGAACAACAGGGAAACTATTTTCAGTGTCAGAGACTTTTTTTTTTTACTTGAAAAGGTCGCAGTCTATAGCCCTGCCACACTGTTGTGACAATGTTTGCTGGGCAGGTTTGTTCCCAAACCATACATGACACCCCCCCCCACCCCCACCCCCAAAAAAATCCTGGAGCCGCCCATGTAAGGTGCTATACAAACGGACCACCTACTGTAATTATCAAGTTACAGAAGTCATCACAAACTGCTGAGCCCTCCGCATGTGACCCATCCCTGCTGCAGCAGCGGCTGCGCTCGGTAACTATTTGGTGGTTGAATACTTAATACTAAATAATAATATCACAATATAATACTAATAGAGTACTTTTTTATTCATCCATTCTTAAACAGCAGCAAAGCTCGGGGAGACGATTTCCACACAGACAGGAGGTATCAGTCGGGTCAGTAAAGTAGTAAACACCATTTTTACCAAATAATTCTGGATTTTCCGCTCTCGCGTTCGGGAGCGGCTCACATGGGCAACAGCTACTGATGGATTAACCAGGAGCATGGACGTAATTTTGGGGGGGGACAGGGGGGACATGTCCCCTCCACTTTTTCCAAAGTCAAGTTTTGACCCCTGCACTTTTTACCATCCAAAAACAATATTACACTATATTAAATTGACACTGGTTGAGCTCTAGGACCAAGCAGAAAACAACCGTTTGTGTTGAAGCCTGTTTCCCATTAGAACATACTGTAAAGATACCCCCCCCCCCCCCCGTGTCCCCCCCACTTCTAACGTGAAAATTACGTCCTTGACCAGGAGTCCCCTTTAGAGGTGGGAATGAGAAAACTGGGAGGCGTTCATTCATTTCTACGCCACCTGTGTTAAAACAGCCAACTGACCTGGGAGGGAGCGGGTTCTCCAGCAGCACCCGCGCCGTCTAAAGTCCGCTAAGTGCGCGTTAGTGATGAGCCAGCAGGATACTGGGCATTAACGTAGGAGATAATGGAGTGCTGCCGGTCTATTAGCCACTGAAGCACCGCGCACCGCGCCCGGCTGACTATTGTTGACTAGCGGCTAATTTAGCGGTTCAGAAATAAAGTCAAAAAGGTTACTTACCACTTTTACGGTAGCGGATGTAAATCCCAAAATGTTCCGTTGTTTTCCGTTCCCGGTTCACACCGTCTCACGTATCCAGCAAACTGCTCCCCTCGCGGAACAACCCTGCCTCTCCTGCCGCCCTCCTCGGTGGTTCAGACCGAGACGAACTTCCCGAGCACACAGGCTTATCGAAGCAGAAGTCTCCGCCTCCTCAGACGGGGATCCAGGCACGCTATTGGTCAAGCGTCACTCGTTCCCGTCACTTATTGGCTAAAATGGATGTCTGTTTCAACTCCAGGGTGGGTCCCAGAACGTTCAAATGGTGCGTTCAGTGTCAATGACGAAGTATGAGAATGTTTAACTTCCTAATGGGTTTTGATTACCAGGATTGCATTCAGGTACAACCTTTCACACCAAGATGATCCTTTGAAAATATTGGATAAACTGAGACATGTTTGAGTTAAATACTGCCGCCAATTAGTTAATTTTCTTTAAAAAAATTGAAAACAAATACTATGCATCTATGTAATCAAACTGTGTTTAAAATAACGGTTATTTTTAATAATGTTTAGAGTAAAAATAATATTGAAATAAAAAAAGTTTAATGATATAATACATCTGGTTTAAAAAAATCAATATTTTGGAGTTTATATTCTGGTCGGGTCATACCAAAGACAAAAAAATGGGACCCAATGCCTCCCTGCTTGACACTCAGCTTTAAAGGGTTGGATTGGGGGTTAAACCACCAACTGATGCAGCTCAACGCTTCAGACGGAGATGGGTCAAATGCAGAGAACAAATTTCACCACCCACCAGTGTGTATGACAACTGTTCGGACTTTACTCATTTAGTGTCTTACTATAGGCTGTAAAAATCTAAATACATTACTGCCTATTGAGAAAACACCAAATGTCTGAGAAACAAGTGGATTGAGGCTGCAGCCAGGCCCGGAGTGGCTAATCGGGAGGGTCTGGAGAATTCCCGGTGGGCCGCGCGATGTTTGGGCCGCATGCGGCCGGTGCTCTCGTTTTTGTTTTTTATCATTTTATTTTTATTTTTTGGTGCCGGTGTTCAGTCATGGCACTGAGGCCGCCGGGCTGATCACATACGCTCCTCCCGGCTGTCTCTACCTGCAGGCTGCAGCTCGTTGTTTTTTTCCCCCGTATGCGCCTGTGCGCACCACGTGACCACGCAGTTGACGGAAAGATGGAAAGTAGAAAGAGCAAGGGTGGCGCGGAGAAGGCAAGAATTAAAAAGAGGAAAGCGCTGGAAACAGATGCAGATAAATGTGCAAAAATGAGCACCTTTTTTTTCTCAAACAAGCTCGCGGTCTTTAACTTCAAATGAAGATAAAACGGGTAAGGCAAGTCAAGATGTTAAACTTTATCGGCTGCAAATCACCATTCAAGTTAATTAAGCATCAATAATGAATTATATGGCGTCATGACATAACGTTATGTAATATAATTAACAGTATGATGTGACTGATGCCACCAAACTGCCTTGTAGCCCCTCAGAGTCAAACACAAGATCCAGTAGGCCTAATAAGCACCAGGCAGAAACCCACAGTTCCAGAGCGGGCATGTACAGGTAGGATTACTTATTGAGTCAGTGAACTGAATATTATTAAAATTTATATGATGAAAACTATCCTGGCTCTATATGAAAGTGTTCTAAAATGCTAGATGATTCAGCATTGATCAGAAAGTGTGTAAAAAAGGAAAATGAATGCTGAATTGTGACCATTTTCACACAGTGTGATTTAGTGTCAGAAGAAGAGCCAGGAGCCAGCAGTGAGGGTATTGCTCCTGTTGGGATAGAAAGTGAGCCAACTCATGTGCAAACAAGCAAACATCAGTTTCATTATAATAATTTTAATGTCCAAATAATAGTAGTGACCTGATGTATTTCTGTTAGTAAATGCACAAAGCCCACAACAGATCGCTATTAGAATGAAAGTAAAATGAAACAAGCCTGCATATTTTGCCATAGAAAATATTTTAATTGGTTACAAAAAATGTGTTTTCCATATCAAATGTGCCAAAGCTTTACAGATGATTATTTTAATTGTGTGCAGGTGAGTCTAGGGAAACTGGAAAAAGTGTGAAAGGGAGTGCTGAGTCATTTCATTTTAAAGATTTGAAAATCTCAGAACAGCTGTTTGAACAGAAGGTGGATTGTTATATTGTTAGAGAATGTGTTGTAAAGAACAATGTTGGAGATGTGCACTGATGTTCAAATATGCATTGTAAAGCAACTCTTTCTTGCACTGAATTACAAGGCTTTACCGAGTAGTGTGCTTTTGTAGACTATACATATAAAGTTCTAACATGATTTTAATAATAATTCGTTAAGTGGGCCGGTCTGGGGTCTGAAACTCCAGGGCTGAAAATGTGTCCCACTCCGGCCCTGGCTGCAGCTATCAAACATTATAGTATTTGAATATTTTATCAAATCCTCTGTTGATAAATCGAATATTTTGACATCCATCCATATTCGTCCACTTCTCCAAGGTCAGGTCCAGGGACCAGCAGCCTAAACAGGGAGGCCAAGACTGCCCTCTCCCCGCCACTCGGTCCAGCTCCTCCAGGGGAATCCTACGGCGTTCTCTGGCCATCTCTCCAGGATGGCCTGAGTCTTCCTTTGGGTCTCCTCATGGTTGGATGTGCTCAGAAAACCTCACCAGAGATTACAACACATCCAAAGCAGCGCTGCTAGGATTCTGATGAGTGCCCAAATGCGATGTGTCACCCCCATTTTGAAAGCACTTCATTGGCTCCCAGTCTCAGTCAGATTTGAATGTTTTCTTCTCTCTCATCCGTGCGTTCACGGTCATGCTCCTCCTTATTTGATGGACCTTCCCACCTTGAAATCAAATTCTCCAGTCTGCAACAACAGACTCCTAATCCCCAGAATCAAGCTATGCAGCATGGGTGACCGGGCCTTATCAAGCGCTGCTTTGAGGCTGTGGAGAACCCACCCGTCCACATGGGAGCCCCACAAACTGTCTAGGGCGTGTGATCACATGTGATTATGCATAGCATTCTGGGATGTGCACGGCCATGTTGGAAGCTTGACGCGTGTAATCAAACCGTGAAACAAACGGTACTGTCGCAGAGAAGAAGCGGATTAAGGAAACAGAAAGTTTTAAACAACATTATAAAATCCCCAAAAGGATGCAGAAAACACAGAGAGACGTTACATAACGACGTCGGGGATGGTGTGTGGACTAAATCAGCGTTACAAGTGGTTTTGATCCACATGAAGACCCAAGACCGGAGCACCGATGACATTTTCCTGCTGCTGCAGTTCTGCATAACGGACGTTTTCAGCCATCTTGTTTGTGGTGTGAGCAAATGTAAACACGTCCGGATGAGGTAAACGCGTTATTTGCTGGTTTTTCTAGCAAAACCATCAAAATTATCATCCTACAGAAGAAGTGTAGCAGGAGAAGTTGTGCTGTGTGTCAGCGCGCCCGCATTAGCTCACCGGTATGTATGTATGTGTGTGTGTGTGTGTGTGTGTGTGTGTGTGTGTGTGTGTGTGTGTGTGTGTGTGGTTTTGGCTCCAGGCAGGAAAACGGTGAAAATTTAGCTTGTTTTCCACCTTTATTCTCCTGGTGATCACGTGCCGCCCCACAACGCAGCAATGATCTACTAGAGCTGTGTAATATAAGGATCAACTGAAGCCGCCAGAACGGGACTGAGCGCTGTTACAGTAGTAAGAAGCAACAAGTACAGACTCACACGCCTCCAACAGGGCGGCTGCGTCGGTGATGACATCACGGTCACAAGCCCTGTTGCTTTGAAATGGAAACTTAAGACCCTAACCCTAGAAAAGCCTTTTGCTAAGTACATTTTATAAACTTTATCACAAAAGTATGTACTTTTATCTTCTGTAGGTTCATTCTGTGTATTTAGTCAACTTGCATGAACCATCAGTTAGAGAGACCATCGTTTCAACCGGGGACGCTACACAGTTACCTGTGACTTCAACATGTCAGAAGATGACTTGTTTGAACGCTTATCAGTTTCAGAAAGCCATATTTCACTGTCCTCCGTGAATCCTTTATTATGTGTATCGATGCTTAAGAACCATGTATTTTGTTTATCTTTCTCAAGTGGAATTAACTTCAGGAAAGATTGATGTAATGCACTGGCATCCTTACACACTCGTGTTAACTCCTCAAACTCGAGTCTAACTTGTGAATAATTTTTAACACGTGAGACGTGATGATGCTTTTCATTCTATTTACATGCCTTTTGCAATCGGCTTGTATGGTTTCAATCTTGTTGGTCAGGGCTTTCTCGGTGAGAACGATTGATCTTCTCTCCTTTTCATGTTTCCCAACAACTGATGAAGCTTGTGAAGTGCTCATTCTAATACTTCGGCCCACGGAGCATGCAAAAAATTCATGAACAAAGGCAACAGCAATTCTTATTCTTCGCTGAGCACTCACAGAGCCACACACACGCACACACACATCAAATCCAACAGCAGGGGGCGTTGCACCACAACATCTTCGTGGAAAAGCCAAACAGCGTTCCAAAACAGTCATACAGGTTCCATCCCACGTTAGTCTCCACTTTGTTTGTCAGGCCAGCCGCCTTCATGCATGTGGGCTCCCCTCAGCGTCCAGCAGTTCCTGTGCCGTACAAGTTTTGCTGACAAGTGTTGGCGAGTGTAACCATTGGGTCGCCGAGCAGCTAATTAGGGGATGTGTAGACGCGCCCTAAGAGCATTCCAGTCCAGGTTTTGATTAAGCACCTTTATTTGTTGTTCAAACATATTTCCTTCGATCAGCGTTCACAAGCATCACACAACCAGAAAAAATGAACAGATCCACAAAGTAGAGCTAATAATTCATGCAAAAAATCATCTGAGCGGTCTGCAAAAGTTGACTTCCCCATCGCCTGCTCATTACAACAGCCTTCCCATGCAGGTGCGCAACACGTAAATAACAATCCATAGACACCTCGTGATCCGAGCCCACTCCTATCCATCACAAATATCTAAAGATCAATAATGTTGATAATTCATATTTATATGGAATAGCACATCTTATTGATCATTTACTAAAAGTAACCACTTCCATCATGTTACAAAGGCAGTAATTAGAAAAGTAGCTACTATTTACAAGTAGGTGTAGTACTGGTCAGAGGGGAATTAGTTTATGTTTATGTATTTATGTTTATGTTTATGT